AATTTTTTTGGTCGCTACCCGGAATCGAACCCGGGACCTTTGAATGAGAGGCCAACACCTTAACCTCTAGGCCACGAGAACCCCCTTTTTGTCGGTCTGGGGCTAGCCGATTGCCCTCCTCGGGAGTGGCAAAATTGACGAAACCGACCAAACCTATGATGACCTTTTATAACAAACGCATTTGTTTTCAAGGCCGTGCGTCGGGCGATCGGTTTGGGCAGTTGGTCTATTTATAGTCTGCTCTGAAACCAAAGATTCTCTACGACACGATCTTTGCTGAAACCGCCGGAAGCCGAACCGAACCGAACCGAAGCGATCCTCCAATTGGCACCAGGTATTAGATCTTGTAATATTTGTGAGGCAGCGTGGTGGAATCATGCTCTCGTCAATTTTTGGGCATGTAGAGTTATTGGTATCATCTTAAAGCTTGTTCACTTGTCTTTATTTGGATGAAAAAAATGTCCTTTTATCTTGAATGCAAGTCGAGATATTTGCGAATGAAGGAGGTGGGGGTCACCTATTTTCAGAGGTAGAATTATGAGTAAATGGCCGCCAAAGATTAGTTATTTCCATAGCTTAAGAGTGCGTTGTAACAGAAACTTTCCATTTTCTGTGCCTTTAATCAACGCTTTTCAGAAAAATCCACACAGAATTGAGTTCTTTGATGGGCATGATGGGTGTTGAGCCAAAAAAAATTTTTTAAATAAAAATTCACAGACCTGTGAAAAAATTCAAGTTTCTTCACTTTGATTATTTTGATGAGAGCCTGATTCCACCACGCTGCCTCACATTTTATTTCGGAGGCACGTTTCCATTCTACCTGTCGGGGCCAACTCGGGCTGAGGGGATGGGCTATTCCACAGTAACTGACGGGACATTTGGACTGTACTTTCTTACAATGATAACACCGTAATTCAGTATCTTTTAATTTATTTCAACTTTAAATTATCTTAACATTTCAAAGATGTATTAAGAATCATATTAAACGCAGTCTTTCTGGAAAAAAAGTTCTTTATGCAAATTTTGTGACATGTTTAGTTTGGGTAACTGACCGGACAGAAAGTATACCTCTTTAATGTGTCCCGCCAGTTACCGTGGAATAGCCCGGATTACTGGTGCTGGGCGGCTAGGTTCCCGATTATTGAAAGCTAGGAAATGCAGGAATGGACTCCGAACCCAACAACTTCCTTTCTAAGGACGTGATTTCGTCCGGTGGTTACCCGGTTGGTCTCAAACATCTGCAGTATTTAGGATAACCTTGATTTTGGAACACTACGAAGCATCAACTTTTATTTTTCAAAAATTGTTTCTAAAAAAAATAGTTTTTTAAAAATATTTTAAGGATTAAAGTAACTGGTAACCGTTGGATCACGTAAAAAGGAGTTGGGATTTTTCTTTCGTAGACTTAAGCGTGGGAATCGGTTCCGGAATCGAGTCTTCGCCCAGCTCTACTGATTACATCTCAGCAGAAAGACCGAGATGCTTGATACGAGTCCTCCTCCACTTGGGAATCGACCTCGGGTTCATGCGCTCGGGAATTAAACTCATGTCTGCTGCATGCGACAGCGGGGTGCCTAACCGCGACACACTAAAGGCCGCTGACAAACTGAGATACTCGATTTGAAACAAACAAACGAACCCAAAGTTTCTTCTCATGAGGAGAATCGAATCCACGTCTTCTGCGTGCAACATTTAAACGATTTCTAACCACTACACCACACTGAGGGTGGGGGGAGGGTCAGTGACTGGTAAACATTTCGGGTTGTTGTTTTTAATTATGAGGGTGAGAGAGGGAGAGAGAGAGAGAGAGAGAGAGAGAATGTGGGTGAGAGAGAGAGAAGGAAAAATCAGGTTGCATCGTAGGTGCGAACCTGAAATGTCGACGATATAAGTTGAAAGGGCAGAGAATGAAATAGGGTGTGAGCGTAATCAAATTAATACCATTACGCGAAAAAGTCATGGCGGACGGCGAAAGAGGTCGCGGCTATGTTTGGAATCATCTGGTCTCCTTATAGATCACGTTTTGAAAACAGGCAGCTATATTTGGCGTGCAGATATTGACCACGGTCTATCTATAGAGCTGTGATCTATTGGGATTTATGTCGGTGTGGGGTGGGAAGTATGGTGGGTTGTGGGGTTGGCTTTGATTTTTTA